TGCTTATTTTGATATACAAATTCTTTTGTGTTTCGAAGATCCCAAAAATTGATTAAAAAATCATCTCCAGCAGTTGCAATATGCCACGGTTTGTTCCGATTGAACGCAAGATCTCGGATCGCCCCGCCTTGTGCATGCTCGATTTCTTGTGTTTCTCTGTGGGTTTTTTATTGGTCATTATGAGTAAAAATGTAAGAATTATTCTTGACTTAAAAAATTTTTTGTCAAATACTTAAGTGTTCGTAAATCCCAAATTCTCAACGAACTTTCGTTACTCGTCGCGAACTGATGCGGTTGGAGAAAGTCCCATGCGCTCGCTGTTATCACCTCAAGTTCTCCAACATTGATTTTGTTGTCAAGCTTCGCTTCTTTTTCTTTTTCGTTTTTGTTTAAATTCCAAATTTGGATCGAACGTTCGTCAACAGAGATCACTTTTTCTTTATTTTCGCCAGTCGGATCAAAAAGGATACTGCATAAAACAATCATCCAAATAAAAGTTAGTGAAAAAAGATCAATTAAATATTCAATCAATTCTTTGTCCAAAAACCCGGTTTTTCTGAGAACCAAAAAAAACCAGTGTATTTTCTTAAAGGAAAAAAAAAGTTCACCTTTTGATTCGTCCGTTAAATCCGTTGAAATCCACCAACTTCTCCATATCAGAGAAATCGCCAGCTTTTTCCCGTTCTTCTTGTGTTTTAATCCGCCACAGACTTCCTGCAAACTCCATTCCTGTATTATAACCTGTAATGAGAAGACTTGGGTCCCAGTTGCAGGAAGAAAGACTCCAGATTTCTGGTTTATGATCCAGAATTCTATTGCATATGATTTCGTTTTTTTCTTCTATATATTCCACTAGATGGATCTTGTGCAGTATAAATTATTTTTTTAATTTGATTTTGTTGATTTTTTTTTGATTTGATTTTTTTTTGATTTGGATTTTTTACTTCGTTTTCTTCTCTTAAACTTCTTGTTCCAATTAAAAATTCAATATGATTTTCATCATAAACTGGTGCAAGAGTTGTTGATTGATATTTTAAACCGGTATAAGTTGCAAGATTTTTATTTGTATGAGCAGAAGACATAAAAGAAGTTTTTTTTCTTTTTTTTTTAAAAAATGAAATGAAAAAAATGATTTCAAAATTATTTCAAAATTATTTCAAAAGTATTTGTTTATTTATTTGTTTATTTGTTTATTTGTTTGTGGGGTTTTTGATTGTATTCAAAAGTTCGTAAAGTTTTTGATTTTCATCGTAAAGAATTTTATATTCTTCAAGAATATCAGCAATTTCACCAATAGTTACTTTATCCAATGAAGTAATATTTTGATATTGATAAATTCGAGGTGTTAAATAGAATTTTGCCAATTCTCGCTGTTCATTTTTGGCTTGTTTGTTAATCGCCAAAACTCCTTTTTTTGTCCCTAATTTTTGTTCTTCTTTTTTTATCTCTAATTTTTGTTCTTCTTTTTTTATCTCTAATTTTTGTTCTTCTTTTTTTATCTCTAATTTTTGTTCTTCTTTTTTTTCTTCCATTTTTACTTGAGAATCCTGTTCAGAAACCACAAGATTCTCCTTGCTATTTTCCAATATTGTATTCTGTTCTTCCCTGTTCTCTGTCTCGCTTTCTATTCTTTCTTCCTTCCCAGTTTTCTGTTGATCGTTTTTTCGTTCGGTTTTTTGATCATCTTTTTTCTCTTTTTTGTTTTCTGCTTTTTCTTGTGTTTTTCAGGAATTAAAAAATAAGTTTGCGTCTTTGTTTTCGATTCTTCCCCATTCGCTGAATCATTTTCATTTGGGGATTTGGCTTCTTTTTTTTCTGAATTTTGTTGTACTTGAGCTTTTTCTTTTTGATTTGAAGTGTTTTTTTGAATTGGAAATTGTTGTGGAAATGAATTTTGGAAATCGAAAGCATGCGAGATAATTTCATCCACATTTTCATTGATTTCAAGACCAGAATCATCATGAATTGCTGTGGAGTCGTTAATTTTATGAAGCTGATTTTTTGAGTCACTTGATTCATCTTCAATATCAAAAGGGATTGTGTGAGTTTTTTTTGAAACTTGGGGTTTTTTTGGGATTCTAAAGGAGCGAAAAAGAGGGTTTGCGCTTTGGGTCTTGTCGTCCTCATTGTCATCGAAGATTTGGAATGTACCAAACATACGTTTTTCTATTGAAGATTCTTCAAAAAAGTTATTCTGTAGATTAGGACTTTTCCGAAGAACATTATCAAAAATCATTGATTTAGGTCTGACAAGACTATTATGCGCTTGTTGGAAATTTGAGCGTTTCTCTGGGAGTTCGACACTGCGCATGGAGTTCATGATTTGTGGATCGGGACTGTGTCTGTGATTGGAAAGTATTGCGTCTATTTTTTGTTGAGAATTTGGTGTTTTATTTCGAGATTGTTTTTCGGATTGTTCAGCTTCTTCAACAAACAATTCGAATGTCAACGGATCAATTGAAAGATCTGTTGATGAAATGTTTTCTAGGAATGACACCGCCGTCATGAAGTTTGCAAAATAATATCCCGTTTCCGAAGTGGAAAGCGACTGAGCAAAACGGAAATTTTGGATGTATTGAATATTTGAATGTATTTTCTTGATATTTGATTTCAAAACAATGTAGATAAACAAAGGCAAAAAATCATCAGCTCCAGTTATTTTGCCGCTTTCTTCAAGAATTTTCCCAAGAATTTCCGAGCAGTTTTGAATGCATTCGAGTTTTCGACCCGGTGATTTGTATTTGTTGATTTTCTGAATCTCCGTTTTTGCTTGGCTCAATAGTTTTTTATTGTGTAGATATTCTTCTGGAATCTCAAGATTTTCCGGCTTGATAAATGATAGTATTTTCAGTTTTTGTTCTAATTCTTTATCTAAATATTCGTCTCTTTGTCCGTAAAAATAAAACACTTTCTTGTGTATTTTCACCATTATATATTTCTCAAACATTTCCTTGATTTCTTTCAGTTGATTTTCTTCCATTTGATAATGATCTGATGTTTTTTTATCTGGTTCTATGTATTTTAGTTCAGAAATTCCTGGTACAATTTCTTCAAATAATGCATCGTAGAAATATTCTCCACTTAATTCATTTAAAAATTGCTTCATTTTTTCACTTGCTTCGCTTATTTTCGTGATTTGATTTCCTGGAAATTCTCGAATGAATTCTCGGATTTTTGTTGTTAGTCGTGATCGTGGATATTTTTTGAAATATTGTTTTAGTTCTTTGTAGTTTCGAATATAAAATTGATTTTCTTGTTCAGCAAATTGATATTGTTGGATTTGATTTTTATTTTCTTTAATTTTTTGATTTTGATTTTGATTTTGATTTTGATTTTGATTTTGATTTTGATTTTGATTTTGATTTTGATTTTGATTTTGATTTTGATTTTGATTTTGATTTTGATTTTGATTTTGATTTTGATTTTCTTTTTCATTTTGTATTTCATTTTGATTTTCATTTTGATTTTCATTTTCATTTTCATTTTGGTTTTCGTTTTCATTTTGATTTTGATTTTGATTTTGTATTTCATTTTGATTTTTATTTTGATTTTGATTTTCATTTTCATTTTGATTTTGATTTTGATTTTGATTTTCTTTTTCATTTTGATTTTCATTTTGATTTTCATTTTGATTTTGATTTTGATTTTGATTTTGATTTTCATTTTGATTTTCATTTTGATTTTCAATTTGAATTTTATTTTGGTTTTCGTTTTCATTTTGATTTTGATTTTGATTTTCATTTTCATTTTGATTTTGATTTTGATTTTGATTTTGATTTTGATTTTGATTTTGATTTTGATTTTGATTTTGATTTTGATTTTGATTTTGATTTTGATTTTGATTTTGATTTTCATTTTCATTTTGATTTTCAGTCAAATTTTCACTTGAATTTTCACTAGAATTTTCACTTTCACTTTGATTTGAGTCATGTTCTGATTTAGATTTTGAATTAGATTTAGAATTAGATTTAGATTTAGATTTAGATTTAGATTTAGATTTAGATTTTGATTTTGATTCAGATTTAGATTTAGATTTAGATTTAGATTTAGATTTTGATTCAGATTTAGATTTAGATTTTGATTCAGATTCAGATTTAGATTTTGATTCAGATTTAGAATTTGATTTAGATTCAGATTCAGATTTAGATTTTGAATTAGATTTTGAATTAGATTTAGATTTAGATTCAGATTTAGATTTAGATTTAGATTTAGATTTAGATTTAGATTTAGATTTAGATTTAGATTTAGATTTAGATTTAGATTTAGATTCAGATTTAGATTTAGATTTAGATTTAGATTTAGATTTAGATTTAGATTCAGATTTAGATTTAGATTTAGATTTAGATTTAGAATTTAAATTTGAATTTGAATTTGATTTCTCTGGCTTTTTATCTTGTAAAAAATCTAAAAATGGAAGAGGAGAAGATAATAAAATCATTTCAAAAGATTCAGATCTTTCTTTTATAAATAACATTCCAGTTGAAATAATAAAAGGATTTTTATATTTGGTATTAAAATTATTTTTAATTTCAACATTTTCATTAGAAGATTTTTGATTGAATTGCTTTAAAATAACAAATTGATTTTGATCATTTTTTGAATGAGAGATTTTTATTAAACCTTTAATTCCATTTGAAGTAATGAAATTTTGCTTTTTCTTTTGATTGAATATTAAAATATGAGATTTAACAAATTTTGAAGTTATTTTTTTTGGTAATTTTTCTATTTGAGGAATTGCTAATTTAATAACTTGATTAGATTTAATTTTTGGAATAAATTTATTATTATTTTGAATAAGAAAAGAAATTAAAGAATTATTTTCAATTTCAAAATTAATTAATTCATCCATAATAATAATAAAAAGAAAAATGAAAAAAAAAAGGGAAAAATAAAAAAAAAAAAATAAAAAAAAAAAAATTAATTTTTTAAATTAATAAATAAATAAATAAAATTTTTAAATTTAAAAAATAAGAAAAAAAAAAATTAAATTAAATTTAAAAGGGCTTATGGTCTAATGGTATGATTCGTTCTTAGGGTGGACGAGGAAGGGGTTCAATTCCCCTTAAGCCCCTATATTTTTTTTTATTTTTTTTTCAATTAAATTTTTTTTTTTATTTTTTTTTTCATTTTTTTCTTTTAAATGCAAAATAAAAAAATTTTTCGTTGTCTTTCTATTGATGGAGGTGGAATTCGTGGAATTATTCCTTTAGTTATTCTTTGTGAAATTGAAAAAAAAACTAATAAATCTATAAGTGAATTATTTGATTTTATTTCTGGTACTTCAACTGGTGGAATAATTGCACTTGCTTTATCAATTAGAGAATTAAAACAAAATAATGACAAATTTACCAACCCAGTTTTTAATTCAAAATTTTCAGCTGAAACATTATTAGATTACTATAAAAATTTAGGTCAAACTGTTTTTACAAATAACCCAATTGAATATGGAATTAATTCTTTCAAGAAAAGAAAAAAATCTCTTAAAAAAACAGAATCTATTAATGAAAATAACGAAATTGAAGAAAATAAAGAAATTGAAGAAAATGAAAAAGGAGTAAAATTACAAACAGAAGAAAATAAACCAAAAGAACAAAGCAAAAAATCATTTGCAAAATCTCTTTTTTCAAGTGTTGCTAATTTTGGTGCAAAACATTTGGATAATTTTGTCAAGGAAAAAACAAATTTCACTTTTTTGGATTATTTCAAAACAAAATATCCAAGAAGTGGAATTGATTCACTTTTGAAAAAATTTTTTGGAGAGTTAAAAATGAATGAATGTTTCAATCAAGTTTTTATACCTTCTTTTAACGTTTCAACAAGAGAACCAATTTTTTTCACAAACAAAAACAACACAAAAATACGCAAAGTCGCAGGAGCAACATCAGCAGCTCCAACGTATTTTGACCCAGCAAAAATCGAGGATGATTTTTATCTTGATGGAGGAGTTTTTGCTAACAATCCTTGTCTATCCATGTTTTCTTTACTTTCTCAAAGAACAATTCCCATTTCAAATATGTTTATTGTTTCACTGGGAACCGGTCTTTTCAAGCCTCCAATCCATGAAAAAATCATTGATGCAGGCAAACTTGAATGGAGTAAATATATTTTCGATATTTTCATCGATAGTGGTTCAGATCTTGTGGATTTTTCTATGAAACAACTTTTTTCTTTTTATCCAAATCAATATTTCCGTTTTCAATCCACTTTGGATAAAGAAATTATTCTTGATGATTGTTCTACTGAAAATATTCAATATCTTGAAAATCTTGCAAAGAAGATGATTCAACAGAATCAGGATCAAATTGATTTAGTTTGTAAAATTCTGACATCAAATTAAACAATTTTGAACAAAAAATCAAATTAAACAATTTTGAAACAAAAATCAATCAAATTAAACAATTTTGAAACAAAAATCAATCAATTTTAAATTTTGAAACAAAAATTAATCAATTTTAAACAATTTTGAAACAAAAATCAATCAAATTAATCAATTTTAAATTTTGAAACAAAAATCAATCAAATTTAAATTTTCAAACAAATCAAATTAAACAATTTTGAAACAAAAATCAATCAAATTAAACATTTTGAACAAAAATCAATCAAATTAAACAATTTTGAAACAAAAATCAATCAAATTAAACAATTTTGAACAAAAATCAATCAATTTAAACAATTTTGAAACAATCAATCAATTTTAAACAATTTTGAAACAAAAATTAATCAAATTAAACAATTTTGAAACAAAAATTAATCAATTTTAAACAATTTTGAAACAAAAATTAATCAATTTTAAACAATTTTGAAACAAATCAATCAATTTTAAATTTTGAAACAAAAATCAATCAATTTAAACAATTTTGAAACAAAAATCAATCAAATTTAAATTTTCAAACAAATCAAATTAAACAATTTTGAAACAAAAATTAATCAATTTTAAATTTTGAAACAAAAATTAATCAATTTTAAACAATTTTGAAACAAAAATTAATCAATTTTAAATTTTGAAACAAAAATTAATCAAATTTAAATATTGAAACAAAAATTAATCAATTTTAAATTTTGAAACAAAAATTAATCAATTTTAAATTTTGAAACAAAAATTAATCAAATTAAACAATTTTGAAACAAAAATTAATCAATTTTAAATTTTGAAACAAAAATTAATCAAATTAAACAATTTTGAAACAAAAATTAATCAATTTTAAATTTTGAAACAAAAATTAATCAATTTTGAATTTTGAAACAAAAATTAATCAATTTTAAATTTTGAAACAAAAATTAATCAAATTAAAGAATTTTGAAACAAAAATTAATCAAACTAAACAATTTTGAAACAAAAATCAATCAAATTAAACAATTTTGAAACAAAAATCAATCAATTAAACAATTTTGAAACAAAAATCAAATTAATCAATTTTAAATTTTGAAACAAAAATTAATCAATTTTAAATTTTGAATTTTAAATATTGAATTTGAAAAAAAAAAAGGAAATTAAACAAAATTTTTTCAATATTTAAAATAAAACTAAAAATAAAACCAAAAAAAACCAAGAAAATCTTAAAACAATTATTCCTCTGCTTACAACATGTTTTTCCAAAACAATAATTTCAAAAACAGTTGAATTATAACTTCCCCAATAATCTTCATAAGCATGAATCTCAATAAAATAATTGCCTTGAGTAACTGGAATTCCTGAAAATTCTCTTGTTTTATTATCAAAAGATAACCATTTTGGAAGGACTTGTTCATTTTGTAAAGAAGCATTATAATAAATCAAAGACATATTGGATAAAGAAAAAGTGTCATTTGGAAAAATAAAAGAGAAAATGGTAAAAGTTGAAGTTTCTTGTGCAAGAATGGAATTGCAAACAATAATATGATCCCGAATCTCAAGATGGAAAATCGTTGAAACTTCAAAAGAACAGGATAAATAATTCCCAATAATTTTGAAATTGGAAACTTGAATAACATCAGGAACTCCAAAAATTTCCCCAGTTTGTGAATTAATCGACATCCAAACTGGAACTGGATCTCCATTCTCCATTTCAATAGAATAACTCAATGAAGAATCACTTGAGTAATTGAAAGTATCCGATGGGATTGTATAGTTAAAATATTCCATATATAGTCCACTTTGTTCAGGAATTGGTTTTGCAAATGTGAAGTTTTGTAGTGAATAAATTGTTAGTAAAATGTTAAATGGATCCCATGTGTTTAAATTTCCTCTCCAAATTATTCCAAATGTGTTATTATCAAATTCTTTAATACTTGGATTCATATCAAAACATGATATACAAAAATGTGGTGAAAATGAATTGGATATTTTTGTTATATTCTTGTCATATATTGTTAGTTGAATTATTGATCCTGATGTATTTAATGTCTCACTTGTTATTGTTGTTGCTAATATTATATTGTCTATATTGATTCTAGTTGTTGATGGTTCTGTTGCGTCTTGTTCAATTTCTGTTAATTTTACTTCTTTTCCAATTTTTGTTGTGTTTTCATCAATTATTTGTCCATAAATAGAAAACAAATTAGAAGTTGAATTATGTATTTGCCATAAAATGAGATATTTTTGATCCGGAATACTAAGTATATCAATATTAGTTCTAGTATCTATTTCCTTTATTTGTTTATAATTTTTAGATTCTTTTGAATTTTTGAATTTATCAAATTCATCAAATTCATCAAATTCATCAAATTCATCAAATTCATCAAATTCTTCAAATTCTTCAAATTCATCAAATTCATCAAATTCATCAAATTCATCAAAATCATCAAAATCATCAAATTCTTCTAAATCTTCTAAATCATCAAATTCATCAAATTCATAATCAAAATCTTCTAAATCTTGAAATTGCTTAAACTGTTTAAATTGTCTAAATTGTTTAAATTCATCAAAATCTTCAAATTCTTCAAATTCATAATCAAAATCTTCAAATTCTTCAAATTCATAATCAAATTCTTCAAATTCATAATCAAAATCTTCAAATTCTTCAAATTCATAATCAAATTCTTCAAATTCTTCAAATTCTTCAAATTCATAATCTTTAAAATTTTCGAATTCTTGTAAATCTATATCTTCTATATCATCTATATCTTCAAATTCTTCAAAATTTTCTGATTGTTTAAATTGCTTAAATTTCTTAAACTCTTGATATTCTTTAAATTCTTGATATTTTTGAAATTCTTGAAATTCTTGAAACTCTTCTAATTCTTTAAATTCTTTAAATTCTTTAAATTCTTGAAACTCTTCAAACTCTTCAATTTCTTGTAAATTTTCCAAATCTTTGAATTTTTTGAATTCTTCAAATTGTTCAAATTCTAGAAAATCTTGAAATTGTTTAAAAATTTCAAAATCTTCAACTTGGATAAATTCATTAAATTCATCAAATTCATCAAATTCATTTTTGTTTACAACAAATACATCAGCAATTTTTGATCCATTATTATCAAAAAGTTGAGCATAAACATCAGATGTATTTTGCTCTAACAAAATATTTTCCCAAACAACAATAAAATTTCCATCAGAAAAACCTTTTGCAACAGGTTTGACTTGATGAGATGTTGTGTTATAATTAATAAAAAATTCATCTCCAATTTTTGAACCATTCAAATCAAATAATTGGGCTAAAATTGCATATTCATTTCCTTCTTGAATTGTAACTTCCCAAACAACAACAAATTTTCCGTCATTTAAACTTGCAATTTGAGGGTTTTTCTGATTTTTGGAAAAATTTGAATTGGCAAAAAATTCTTCACCAATTTTTTCACCAACTGAATTTAAAACTTGGCAATAAATTGCAAATTCAGAAAGATTTCCAGTTTGTGAAAAAGAATCCCAAACAACAACAAAATTCCCATTATTTAAATTTGCAATTTGAGGGTTTTTCTGATTTTTGGAAATATTTGAATTGATTGTAAAAACATTTTTGAAAATTGATCCATTTGAATTGAAAATTTCTGCTAAAATTTTATATTGTGTCCATTCTTCATTGATACTTTCCCATACAATTAGAATTGTATTATTTGCTAAAATTGTGCTGACTGGAGTAAATGAAAGTTCAT